TAGACCACGTAAAAGAGTACGATTTAATAATACGATATCTCGGCGCCAGGATTATATTTGGAATTGCATTAAAAACAGGATGTATTAGCTATGTTTACATCTTATTGTAACACGAATTATCATGCCTATTTTGTATTTTTGTGTTGTTTTTAAAACCTATCAATGTAAAAATATCCAACTAAATAAAAAATCTTCCCTATTTCATAATCACTATTCATACTTTCACTAGAGTACTGAAGACTAAGGTCCTTGTTGGTGAGCGGGATTATTAACCGTTAAAAAATCGAACGCTCAATTAACCTTATTTTTTTGATATAAAATTTTTTAATTTGTTTGATTAATGTAATGAATATTAAATTTAACATGAATAAATAAAATGTACAAAATATTTGTTCCTTAATTTTATTTATAATTAAAACTTACATGAAAATATTTAAATACAAATGTAACCTTGATTAATATTGGAGCGCGTCGCTGATGGTTCAGCGGTGGAACGTACACTGATTAGACTTAATACTAAAAGACACATTGCTGACCAGCCAAACCAAGATAAAAGACCATACTATAGTGTGACTCGCGCTAACAGTCCCTTTTGCGTGGTTTTACCATTTAACATATTTACTTTTGTATTATTATCTATATAATTATAATTATAACAATGAGTACACAACGAGGAAATAAGTGTATTTTTTTTAATTGCGATAAAAACTGGGTAGCGAGAAATTGTTATGTAATAAGTTAAGATTTTCAACAGAGAAAATTAAGAAAAATGAATAATAGTCAAATTTAAATCAATATTAATAAAATACAAAACACATGTTTTATCGAATTTGTATTTAAAACGAAAAGTTTCATTTAAATCAAATAGCAATCGCCTTTTAGTAATAACTGGTTCTTAACTTAATTTGCGCTAACACCATTAGCCGTACATCAATAATCGTGACTATTACTTGAATATCAGCAAACTGAACAGTTATTATTAAATATTTAATATTTCCGAAAGGATATATAGCGCTATCTTTACGGGTATAAATTAACAAAAAATCGGTTGCCAATTGTCTGAAGCCGTGGCCTATCTATGTGTATTTAATCTATCCTATCAATAGATATACTTTTTGTATTGCCAGTTAGTGTATTTATAAACTCACAACAATGTACCTTACTATCATTGATAATAACAATGCTGAGTACCTGCTAATATCGATGTCATAAAAAACCAATTAGCTACCAGTATTTGTAATCCCTTGTGTATTATACCTATACAGGGTGTTCAGTAAGTCAGGAAACGGGTATCTATTGTTCTCATTGTTTGTAACAATGAGAACAATAGATACCCGTTTCCTGACTTACTGAACACCCTGTATATTAACTCAAAAATTTGAAACTTTAAATGTTTATATCTAATAAACAAATTAAGTTTCATTAAAAATTCAAATGCCATTTATTATTAAATTAAAAACTCAAACATTTTATTAAATTAAAAATATGTGTTCCAATTTAAAAAAACAAAGTTGACACCCTTGCCAGGCATAAGGGATGAACTTAAAAAGTATTACATAGTTAATAATTCAAGAATAATGTGTAACTAAAGATAATAATAAAAAAAAATTTTTAAATTATTATTATTCTGTAAGTAATTGAGTGGGTTATGATAAAAAGAATTACCCTGTATATATATTTTGCAATTTTCAGTTAATAAACACTTTATCTAATGTTACTTTTTTGTAATTAATTTTTTTGGCCCCCCCTGATAAATTTCCTGCGGGCGCCCATGCATGTATACATTATTAAATACTTGTGCTGATTGTTTTTTATTTATAAAAACAAATAGATTACTATATAATTAAGGTTCAAATGGAGTATTTCTAACTGAAATATTTAATTTAAAATAAATGATGATTCTTTTATAAAAATTAAAAATACATGAAAAAACACTTGTTAACATAGAAAAATTTAATTGAGTGAATTCTTATTTTAAAACTTTAACATCACTATAAAAAATGTAAAGCAGTACAAATTCAAACATTTTAATTTTTGGTCGCTCAATTTAATACTAGCAATTTTTCATAAAAAATATGATAAACTTTCATTATTTTAATTTGTTTATCATAACTTATGCATTAATAATGTCTTACTCTTTATATAATACACAAGCTCTGTGTAATACAATAAATAACGTGGAAAAGTTTATCAAAAATGTTATTTCCTATAAGACGATATGGGAAAAAAATTTAAGTAATGTACAATATGCTAGTTATAATGGTTGTATTTATACATTTGATTTTATATTTGATTCGAAAATTACCACAAATAATGCTGATACTAAAATACGAGGAGCTTATTTTATTCTAGGTTGTTCGTATGCAAATGATCTGAGTATCATATTTTTATATGTATTAAAGTTCATTGATAACTGTTTTGATAAATATGCTTTAAATAAAGAATCAATTAATAAATGTACTGCAGATTTCTTGAATATTATACATAGTTTTTGAGATATCGTGAAACAATTGTACTATAGACCACGTAAAAGAGTACGATTTAATAATACGATATCTCGGCGCCAGGATTNAGTTTAAATCCACTGATAAGCCGAATGAAAATGGCATTAGAATCAATCAATAGGTATCATACAAAACCTTTAGAAGAAAGTAATAGCAACAATTATATTTTAAAACATTGTTTAAAAAATTTAATCGTTTCTACGAAATATTTAACAATAGAACTAGCTTCGAAAAACAACCAAAAATACAATCACGATTTATTAACTATTTTGAAAAGGAAATTTGAAATTTGGAATTTTAGTTTAAATGAAGATATTCAACAATATTGTGTATTACAAAGTAAAATCGTGGAAGACCAATTGGTTATTTGGATGGTAAATTTTGGTAAATTGGTAAAAACTAAATTGAGCCAAAATAATCTAAGATTATACGATAATTTCATAAAAAATTTCGATAATTTATCTGAAAAAATTATTCATGATAAGTTTCGAGAGCTTGGATTTGAATATGATCCAAGAATCATTGACAATGAGTATAATAATTTAGAAGAAGAAAACTTGGCGAGGAACTAAATGATACATATTTTGATCGAGAAACCAACGATAATATGTTTACTCAAAATCAATTTTCCTGTTCAGATAATCATGCATACACTAAATCAGAAAATAATGACGGTGATTAAAAAGAAATTATTTTAAATGGAAACTAACTTTAATAAACCAAAATTATATAAAAGTAGCTTACTGTTAAAATATATAAATAAAAACTTAATTTTAAGCTAATAATTAATTTTTGTATAGTACTTAAAAATGTAAACATATTATAAGAGTATTATATGCATTATATCACTTGAATATACAAATATAAAATTTATAAAAATAATAATTCATTTTAAGTAGTATTATACAAATATAAATTTCTGCGGTTTCAATATTGTTAAAATTGAGCGATAGAATAAAATTTAACAAAAATATTTTTTACTTTGTAATATGATTTACTTAAAATTTATTCGTTAGGCGAGTTATTTATTTATTTAATTATGTATGTTATAAATAAGAGTAAATACTAAAGAAAATTATAAATAGATTATTACAAGTGTTAATATTTAAAAAATAATAAAATAAAAACCTAGCACAGGGGGGTCGCGGCAGAGTGGTGATGTGGCATAGTACTAAAGGCATACTAAAAAGTACAAAGCGTACTAGGTAGGCACTAATCTATTCCTTTATTGAGATAACTTTTTTTACGAAGTAAATATATTAGCTTATTATGATCATTATTATTTGTAGCCTTTGAGGAAAGACAATTTCGTGTGGCTCGGGAACGCTCTTCATTTTAGCTTCGATGCGAAGCTGAGAAGGTATTATTTTACTATGATGTGTTTTTTTTTTTTTTGTGTCTGTTACCGCTTTTTCTCAGCTCTCACCGAACCGATTTCTTTCAATGATACGTCAAAAGATCACAAATCGTATCTAGTCGAAGACATTACCCTCAAAAATTGAAAAAATTTCCCTCGTTCCCCGTAAATGGGGGAAACCTCCAAAAAAATTACAAATTTAAAAATCGCTAATATTCGAAATTTTTTCAATTTTTTTTTACTAAAAACTGCCGTAACTTTTTCAAAAATGAACATATAAATATAATTTTTTTTATATAGATGCATGATATCATTACTTTTCATTTGGTATATTTTTTTTTGTAAATTTGACCCTTTATCTGCCCACAGGGGGGGATTTAAAATGACAACTTTTTCACAAAAAATTTACTTTTCAACTTGACTTTTGAAAGTGTTCCGGAAGGTCTGATACTTTAATGTATATCTTAAATTAAAGCTAATGTAATGTACTTTAATTTGAAAAAAAAAATTTGACCTCTGGACTTGTCTTCACGGTGAAAATGGCTACTGAATGCTATTCGTGTGAAAATTCTCGATTTTATTTTTTACATTTTTAACTTTATAATGCCTATAACTTATTGAAAAGTGTATGGATCAACTCCCTTATTTATGAGAAATAATATTTTTTAATAATCCCTTTTTCATTCGACATGCTTTATCTTAATCAAGATATTAATAAGGAACTAGCAGATCATGTAGCTTTTGGAATAATACACCAATTTTTTAAAATTAAACACTATCCAAAGATTTGCATCGAAGCATTTTTTTTTAATAGTGATTTTAATCACTGTCAGATATCATACTTGATCCAACTATGCCATGTCACCACTGTGCCGTGACCCCCTTGTGCTGGGTTTTTTTTTAGAAACTATAGTCCTCCTCATAGTTTTTTCCACTTTAACCACTGTTATTAAGTATAAATTACAAACCTACACACACGTATAAGTCAGTGATTGCGATCGACAAGTTCTGTAGTGGTTGAATTAAATAGATTATATTTAGTAATGGCTTCATAATAATTGTTACGTAAGGTACTTGAGTAGACTAGTTTTTCTCGGTGGTAACATTTTTTTAGAATCCTATTAAATCGAAAGAATGACCTGTGCGTTATCATCCTCTTTTATAATATTCAGACTAACCTGACTTTTTTTATTGATTTTTCTCTATTTTTTAATAAAGCAAAAGGTTTAATATTCCTACGTTGTTTTAATTACTTAGATAATGAGACATAACAAGTGAAATAGATAATACAGATGATTTCATACAACAAACATTTTATCTTCAAAAAAGAAAGAAAAGTAATGGTTTAACATTAAAAACGTAGATTATGTTTATTTGTCAGTGAATACTCTATATATAATTAAAGTTACATTAAAAAAATTATCCAAAATATCGATATTCAATTTTTTGCTTCAGATAAAAATCATAAGAATAATAACAGTACTCGCTTATTATATTATCTGTTTTTATGGAAACCTAGAGTCAGAAATTCAACTCTTTCATTAGATACTGAAGAAGATATAATAATATTACAGTGATATTAATCACAGGTAATTAAATAAATTACAACATAATTAATTTAACAATAAATGATTAATTTCTTGTAATATTTTTTGGAGTCAAAGTTTAAATGGGCTAGTATTTTTGATTCTTATGAAATTAAAAGGACAGTAGGAAGATTTTAGCGTACCATTCCTATATTTAAATATTAAAAATGATAAACTAAATTATGTATTAATATTAAAATATAGTCATTATGATTTTCAACAAGGCGTAAAACGACCTTGAACTGCCCATGATATTATAATTTTATTTGACTTCCATAATTTATTTAATTTATTAATATTTAGGTAACGATATTAATTAAAAAAAAATCAAACTTGTATTTGGTCTTTTTTGTGTGTCATTGAAACTCAAACATACAAAACTATAAATATAATTTTAGCTTCGATGCGAAGCTGAGAAGGTATTAATTTTACTATGATGTGTTTTTTTTATTTATTTATTTTTTGTGTCTGTGAACGCTCAATCTCAGCTTTTGCTGGACCAATTTTGATGAACAATACGTCAAAAGATCCCAAATCGTATCTAGTCAAAGACATTACTTTCAAAAGTTGAAAAAAATTCCTTCGTTTCCCGTAAATGAAGGAAAACCCCCAAAAAATTACAAATTTAAAAATCGCAAATTTTCGAAATTTTTTTAATTTTTTTTACTTAGAATTGCCATAACTTTTTTTAAAATGACCGAATCAATATAATTTTTTTTTTATAGATATCTAAGGTATTTACCTATCATTTTATATATTTTTGTGGACGTTTGACTCTTTACCAGCCCACAGGAATGGTTTCAAAATGGTAACTTTTTCACAAAAAATTAACTTTTTCAACTTAACTTTTGAAAATGTTCCGAAAGACTAACACTTTTATATATACCTTAAATTAAAGCTTATGTAATATACTGTATTGTGAAAAAAAAAATTGACCTCTGGACTTGTCTTCATAGTGAAAATGGACATCAAAGTTAAAGAAAAACGTACGATTTCCGTGAAAAAATTCTTGATTCTATATTTTATATTATTAAATTTATATTGCTATAACTTTTGGAAAAATGTATGGATCGTAGTGAAGTACGGTTACTCAGTCGGTAAAACTTGTATTTAACGCGCTTGGGTACAAGGTTCCAACCCTCGAAGGGCAAGGAATGTTTTGCATTTTTTCTTAATTCTTTTTATGTTAGAATAAATGTTCAACTGCTTTGACTTTTATCTGATTTAGATTCAATAACTTCAATAAAGATCAAGGATTCCATCACTGTAGTCGTCACCCGCGAGAAGAAATTTCTTATTCATATTAAAATTATTTTATTATATTTTAAGTTTTAGCTTCGATGCAAAGCTGAGAAGATATTTTTTTGTGACTATCATTTATTTTCTCTGCTCTAACTTGACCTACTTTTTTTAACGATATGTCAAATGACTACAATTCGTATCTAATTAGAAGATATTACCCTCAAAAATTGAAAAAAAATTCTAATTTATCAATTAAACAGTTACTTATAACATGTTCTCCACACAGACAATAAAAATCATTAACTTCTAATGTTTTCAAAGTATTTATTGAAGAATCAAGTTTGACATGATAATTTGATATGATAAGTTTCAACTACAAAATTAAATCATTTTACTTTGTAATTTAATAATTTATTTACTCTATTTGTGTATGCTACTACTAGACTATAATATTCCAAATATTTTGGTAACAAATTGCTATATAAATCATTTCTAAAAAAAATGATAGTTAGTTTCTCCTGAATTAACTATGGATTTTTACAATCATAATCAAATTTTATAATACGCTCAATGGAGTAAATCTTTTTAACAACTTTGTTTTGATTGGTTCATTTAGTTAAAGTAAATCATTAAAAAAAATTAAGTTCTGAATATTTCAATTGCAGAATCTTTTTAAACACTAGAAGTTACTAGGAAATGATTACTATTACTTCTATTTAAGTTATCTATTACGATAAAAATACAAAATAATATTGAGTTATTCTGATAAATTTACTATAAATAGTCATTATAAAACTTCCTAACTGCATATTTATCTTAACAATACAATTTTATTAATTCTCATAAAATTTTCTATTTAATGATGGCAATGTCAAACTTGCCAATTGAGTTAAAAGTTATGGTAAAATAAATTAATTTTTTTTTATTATAAACATTCATAAAAATCAACTTTAAAGGATTAAAAAAATAGGTTAAATATTTCATTTTCCTTATTTTTAACATATTAATAATCAAAATCAGTATTAATTTAAAACAATTTTTTTTTTTTTATTTTTTTAGTTTTTTCAATACTTGTGCAACATTTTATTATTTTGAAAATACTTCATAATACATGAAAAGTGGTGTACACAGAAATTAAATTTGGCGGGGGGGTTTAGAAATTTAAAGAAAATTAGATGTGACACTGCCCATATTATTCGCTCATAAAAAATCTTGTTTTCGATTACTTTATTGTGGAATTATTTATAGTATGATATGACCTTTTGTAATGTTATTACTTATTGTTTATCGTTTAAAATTATCGCTTAGCTTACAAATTTTGGGGGAGGGGGTTGAAACCCCCCTCTTGCGTACGACGGTGATATGAAAATAGGTAATTAAAAGAAACACATTTTTAATTATGTTACACTTAAAAAATTATTGTATTACAAAACTAAAATGTATTCAAAATGGACTGTGATGACAAGATTTTTTATAATAATAATAAAAATAACCACACACAAGTAGTAATTTTTAAAACTTATATATCTTATAAGTCTACTTATTTTATATATTGTTTTTTACTGGATATTCTCCAATCCGTTTGGTATATTTGTAATTGAGCAAACATCATTGATTATTACGACGATAATTTTGTCAATATTGCTATCAACCACACACATGTTAGACAAAATTTTTAACTTCTTAAGCACATATGGATTCTGAAAAAATATTAAATAATTAAGATAAGTTTTTGATATTCTTATATAAAATCAGAAAAATCCTCTAATATATGTCTATAAATCCATCTACACAAGACCATTAATAAACAATTCATTTTCTATTTTTTTTTAAACAAAAATGAAAAAGATATAAATTTTCTTCTTAAGATTACAAATTAAATAATTTTTAACGATTACTAAGTAATCAATCATATTTATATATATCTTGAAGAATTCGATTGTTTCACTAGTCTTACCTTTGCAAGTGAAAAACAATTTGAAGAAATCGTGTTAATTATATTTTTATAACACGGGAATACATCAATCGATAATTTTAAAGGAGCTGGTGTTTCTATTGTTCCTATTTTAAAAGACAATGCAGGTAATGCTTCAACAATACGATTGTACATTTTAAAAAATATTGCATCAATAACTTGTTTCATCTGAGGAAAAAAATGATAAAATTAAGATCTTTCAATTTTATTATCACAAATGTTTTATTGTTTAATCGTCTAACAAATTTTAGATAGAATTATATGAATTATCAATACTAACTTGATTCCTATGATTAATTTTCTGCATTAATGATTTGATTTCTTGAATGTTCTTGGAATTCGCAAGTTTACGATTTAAAATAATTTCTGGTATATTGCGATTGGATATTAAAGACTAGATAAAAAAATATTTTTTATTTTAACTGATTATTTTGAAAACCAATAAAGTTTTTTCTTACTCCTGCTTTTATCGGGTGATGATGTACATAATTAATTACTCCTTGTGAATTTCTTTGCACGTTGTATCCTATAAACTTAGAAAGTTTTTCGAAACCTACATGAAAGTCACCGTATACCATTACGTTACTATTAGTCACGTTTGTTCGAATTTCTTCAAAATCTCTCAATATTGTCTTTGATTTTGTCGACACATCGAAAATAGTCTGTTAAAAAAATTAAATAATAACTAAAAATAAGAAAAGTATTTATCAAATAATTGTTTCTTACTTGGTCTAAATTTTCCATCCATTTTACATTAAATAAATCTCCCAGACACGTATGGTATTCACTTTCGTCACAATAACATGCATATGAACATTCTCTGGGACCTGATGCAGTAACTGCAATGACTAAAAATATAAAAAAAAGGAATAAAATTAATGTTATTGATATGATCGTAAAAAAATTCACTTTTTGTATCATCGTCAATCAATCCATCAAACATCGAACCTGCGTTGCATGCTTCAATGAACAATACCATCTTAAGAAAAAATATAATAATATAATAAAATTTGTCCCTTTAATAACTTTAAAAAAAAAGTGTTATTAGTAAATAAAAAAATAACTTAAAGACCTCTTTAAGCGAAAACCTTCTAGTAAATATTACCTTTCGGTAGCGACGTTTAGCATGCATTTCTTTTAAAGTCATAATCAAATCATCGGCATATAAAAAAGTATCAGGGAATCCCAAAATACCATTGCTCCCGTGATCGACAAAATTAACAAAAACGTGATCATGTTTACGACTATAACAGACATTTTAAATTATAGAAGAAAATGTTATAAATAATAAATAATTTAAAGCAACAATTGTTAAAAAAATTATCAATATATACCTTTCAATAACTCTTTCAGAACCTTTTCCTTTCATAGCACTTTTATGACCTTTCAGGACATTTAAAAAATTTTCGCTATTTACATCCTAAGATAATGTGTTTGGCACAGTTAAATTTACTTATTCAAAATACAGACAAGTAGTATTATTCTCTACTTACTTTGCCTGAGTAATCAATTTTTATTCCTTTATAGACATCGACTCCATCAGGCTGATTAATTAAAGTTCCTGGCACCGGATTGCTGAAAGATAGAATAAAGTTCATAATGGATATTTGGTATTATTTACGAGATAATTATTTTATTATTTTGTAATTAAAATACTTTGTGTGATTTGCTACATCATCTGCCATCATGACAATTATATTTTCATCTGGAATTCCATTTCTTTTAACAATTTGATATGCATGAGCTATATCTGCCTATTTAAATAAGTAAAACATTATAAAATGAGTTCATTATTTTATAAATAATTAAATATTCATCTGAATCAAATTAAAAAACATTGGGTTATTATGTATAATCAATTATGATTGTTTTATTTTTATAAGAATCAAACGAAGATACAATATTACATGGCAATAATTTCAAATTATAATATATAATGGTAGTGCAAATATATACAACTTCATACATTTATTGAATGATTTTACCTGATGTCTATAGTTATCCCAACCGCTTGATCCACTAATTAGAAATACCCATTTTTTTCCAATGAAAATCAGATTATCGTCATTTTCATATCCAAGTGACCCAATTGCTAATATTGATGCTAATAAAAAGCTAAGTATACCTATATATGTATAATAGTATTGTACATTAGATATTATCTTTAAATATAGTGCATAAATAATGTTTACTAAATAAAATTATGTATATTTGTTACAATATTAAATAATAAATATGTAAAGTAATTAAATTTAACTAAAATACATAAAATATGAAAACTCATAAAAAGGGTAAAGTTTTTTTCTATGCTATATTTCGATGATTTTTTTGTGGTTTTGTAAGCTGTATAAAAATTATACAATATTCCATACTAAAAACTTCAATCTTACCCATTATGATAGACTGACAATATTTAATCTATTTTTTGTTTCACCTAGAATATTAAATTATTTTAAATATAGCTTTATATATAGGTTTCATAATGTTTTGAAAACTTATTAAGATCATTAAAAATCAAGTACTAAGATAAGAGTTAAAAGTGGAAAGGTATCTTTCAAATAGGAAGGATGACTTAATAATCAATGGGTTTTTCATGATATAGGATGTGTTAAATAGAAACTGTACTCAATATGTAAAGAATATTAATTAATGATAAGATTTGATTGTATACAATACAAGTTTATTTGTTTTAATATATCGTATAAGGGTCATTCCATATGAAATCACTTAATGTAACTGCTGCCATAGTTCAGAAATGTTTGAAATTTTTATCATAGAATTCTTAAAGGTCATTAAAAATAATTCATTTTTTTTATTGTTTTTTTTTACCAGATAGTGCAATTTTTATAATTAAAAATATGAAAAAACCCCTTAAGTTCTTGATCCTATAATTTCATATTCAAATAAGATGTTATTGTGAAACTAACACTATTTTACTCATATTAAATAGTAAATAGTATTTTTTTCTTAAGTTTATGAGTTTTTAATTTTTTATTAACATTTTTATTTTGATTTGAATTTTTTATATATTGCAGTATTTTAATAGCAAAATTTAAACGTCAAAATATGTTTTAATTAATTTTTTTTTTCAGTAACATCTAGGTATGTTATTTTAAAGTTTCAAATTTACATAGTTATCTTTAGGAAATTAAAATGTCCGCTGAAAATTTGATGACGGAGAAATAATTTTACTACCACTTATGGAGTTTTAAAATGTTAAATTTACGTTTTATCAAAAATTCACAAACTACGTAATTTTCAATATTTAATTTTAATTCTTTGCATTTATTCTGCACGAAAATAAAATACTACATACTATTATAAGCAACTAATTTTAAAGTCGTAATTTTTTCAAATATTATGTATTTTAAATAATTTTATTAATTGAAAAATATAATAAAATTTGTTATATTTTTGAGTGTAATAAAGAATAATTTTTATTATAATTTTCCTTTTAATTTTTTCTAAAATGTAATTTAATTCGTTTGTGCTGTGTATCGTGTATCAGGAAAGTGTGTGTTTAGCAAATATGATAATGTATCATTAACATTATTGGTGAACATGTCATCTATCAGTAGTATTGCCGACTGATTTGTATAGTCTATACCCTAGCTATCACAGAAGTCTAGATGCTATAGGAGATGTGGTATTTTTCCACAGAACTTCTTCCAGCTTTTCTTTTGGACTTTTTCAATGCAGATTTGTAGTTCCTTTAGGCATCCTTATAGAACTCCCAGTGTTGTTCCAAATCTGATTTCATCTCTTTATTTAAGAGCTTGTGTGAACTTTCTTAATTTAGAAAGGTTAGTATTCTATTAAGCTACACTCTGTAGCTGTATCTTACCTTTTTATTGAAGGACAGTTTTTCTTGTAAGTCGAATTAATGGAGTCTTGTAAGATATTTACAGCCTTTTCAGTACTTTGTCTCCTTTCAGTACTTTGTACCTAATCTAAATTGTAGGTTATTCTTGATTACAAAGGTAGGTTTGCTACCTTTGTTCACTATACTGAGGTTTGTAGTCAGTAGCAGATTCATTCCTTTTTTTGTGTTGTTAATTCTTCTCCAAATAGTGTGATGAGCATTAGCATCCATACCTAGAATGAGTTCTAATTTTTCATTTTTACTAAAATGATTAAACATTATTAGGTACCTACTTAGGTCTGAGGCCTCATATAGTAGGTATCCTGAGTCTACTATAATATTTTTAACATCAATTAGTATTACTCTAATAATTATTAAGTCTGCACTTGATTGATTGAGTACTAAGCTGGCTTTTACTACTTCGTTAAATAAATTACGAGTTCTTAGTTTATCTGCTTGCTTATGAAACAGATTAAAATTTCTTAGATTCAGCCCCTTAATCTGATTAACATTTATCCTTGGTTCCTAAATAAGTACTATATGTAATGGTGTTATATTCCTCACAGTTAGGGTCCTTAGTAATGCACTAATAGCCTTACTGTGATGCAGGTTTATTTGTATTAAAAAATTACTAGTGTTACTCACATGGACCTCGATTTTATAACAAATCATCTTCTTTACTGATATTTGCATACTTCTTGAATTTATATTTATTAAATAATCAAGCTACTTCTAGTTTACTACCAAACGCAATGTTTCTATAACTAAAACAGTTGGTTTAATTTTTCGATATTTTAATCTTTATTTTTAAATGCAACTACACTGTAAGAAATTGTACAAAAAATTTTATTCGCCAGTATATTTTTATTGTACACGTCAATTTTACATACAAGTAGTATAATTTTGACGTAGAGAATTAAAATTTTATATACAAGTATAACACTTTTATCACAATTTATCTTAATTTTTTCACCATGACATATGTAAAAAACTTCCAGTACGTATATGAAAAAATTCGACATTTTTTTTTACTCAATTAATAGTAGGTAAAAGTCTTTACTGTACCAAAATAAAAATTATTTTTATTCATTATTGGCTTAAAAATTAAATAAGTATAATAATAATAATAATTAATCCATAAAATTTCATATGGTATTAGTTTCTATGATAAAAATATTCATGATACCAGAACTAATTTAATAAAATACAAAAAGTACAATTTCTAACGGGTTTCTAAATATATTGTGTTTTTATAAAATGAGCGAATATGAAAATATACGGATAGATTTTCAAGAATGTTGTGACTTTGGCTTAAATTTTCCCGATAAAACAATAGTGGAAATTTTAAAACCATCTTCACCGCTTGTTCCGCCTATGTGTTGCCCTCCAATAAAAAATGTTTGCAAAAAAATTATCAAGGAAGATAGTAAACTTGAAAAAATAACGCCAGGACCTTGTTCTCCATGTATCAAAAATGAATCTAAATGTGATGAGCAGGATATTAAAAATATTACATGCTGCCCTAAATCTCCAAAATCATCTTCTAAGTGTGCAGAATGGGACATTTTAAATGACACATGTAGTCCAAATTCTTCAAAACCATCTTGTGGTTGTGGTGATGAGATGATTCTAGTTGATACCCCTACATTTTTAAAAAATTGTTCATGGATGACGCCGATGCCTTCATCCATAAATAAAGAGTATAGTAAAACTATACCTAAACAAGTACCAATGGATAAACTTTATACTGATTGTTGAAGTTAAAAGCTGTCTATATAATAACAACTGCATGAAACATTAGTAATCATAATCAAATAAATTCACCGATATATTTATAAATAATTATTAAATAAATAAAAAATGTTGTTCAGTAAGTTATCATTTAAACTAATGAAAATTACACGGGTGTTGATCAAATTCTCTCTGATTTATTTTTATTTAATAAATATATAAATACATTTAGGTAGAGCTTATTTGTATTCCTCTCAAATTAATTATAATATTAATTCTTTTAACGATTATAAGATCAATTTTTTTTATTAAAATTGTATCCAAATGACACTTCAAATAAAAAAAAATTACTGAGTGTTATTTATTATTTAAATTTTTGGTAGTAAATGTTATTGGATGTCTATTTTATATATATTTATGAATCACATGACTTGTATTCATTAATTACAAAATAGTTATATAGTTTACGCTAACTAATGTATCAAGATTTAAGTACTAATGATAATTTTTATTACAAACAATAATCTAAAGAGTATTTTTTTAATATTAATCGATAATGGTAATAGTATACTACAGAAAGATCAATTTAAGTGAATGATGTAATTAGATATAGTTATAATAGTAACTCATTATTACTTACAATTATTATATGCGTAGTAACTAATTCAAACAAAATAATGTAAAATTAGGTCTATGAAACTTTATATCAGTACAAGTATAAAAATTAACTCCATTTTAAACAGAGTGAATAATTATTCATTCTGTTTGAGCTATGGATAGTTGCAAATATGTCATGATATACACAATATATCATTAATGTCATAATGTATTATTTAAGACTTCAATTAATCAATCACACAAAATGATATGTATACCAATAAAAATAATATATATTATATATTCGTAGAAAAAAGCATATATTAATTATATAAAACAAACAGGAAATAATAAACAATATGTAATAGTAATGTGTTAGACATAAGGTAATAAATATGAAAGATTTTATAGAAAAACGGTAGATCATTACTGCTAAAAATGTAATAAATAACATGTAGTAAATTACGATTAATAAAGAAATAATGGTGTATCGTCGGTGATCACTTCTTGCCTTTGAAATACCATCAAAATTAATATAAAAAGCCCAAAATAATGAGCATTCTGGCTCAGATGTCCTGATGATGGTCAGAATGCTCTCACTCAGATGCGGTCAGTTATTCATAGAGGCACTAACTACGCAAATCAGTCCAAATTTTCATAACGAAATATATGCGAGAAGTGATCCGCCGTCTCTACAATTATTTTTGTACAAGAATACAATATCTATTTATTTAAAAGTGTCAGAGAAAATATCAAGGTAGGACACTAATAATTTCATAAAAAATTTATAAAGTTTAGAATTAAATTTTATGAGTACATACATTAAGTAGGCATGAGGTGACTCAATCCCTCCTATCATCGATAACCGTCAAGACTCGTGGCATTATTGATATTAATGAATTGATAATTAATCACAATAAATTTCATATTAATAGAATAAAGATTACTTTATTTTTCTATCATCTTCTATCTTTATTACAGACCCTCGTACTTATATCCTGAATAATAATATTATTAATAAAACAAGAGTAGTGTGGCTCAAACTAGCACCTAACATCCCTTTATATTTTATTTTATTTAATTCTTTCTTTTAAGCTTCTACAAGAGTAAGTTCTTTTTGAGTCACTACAAATATCAATACGAAAATTCCACACTTCATAAAAAAAATATACATTATAAAAAATAATCAAAAAATTCCGATATGCCAGTATGGTATTTTTAATGTATAATTTAGTTTTAAACACAAGTAATATAACTTTGACGTAAGTAACAAAAATGTTTACACAAATGTAACATTTTTGTCATTAATTATCCAAATTTTCCCTGTTATATTATACGTTAAAAACTTTCAATGCGTGTATATGAAAATTCGGACATTTTTTTAAGAGTATACGAAGTAAAATTATTAATTATTTCAATAGTTACATTTTCTAAACAAAATGTACCTAATGTAAGTTATCCAATGAAATTGGAAGATAATAAATGTTAAACTAAACATTAATTAAATGTTAAAACTTTTTGCTTAATCTTGTAACGCATCAAACGGGAAAGTTTACAAAATAATCATTTTAATTTACATTTTTGAGGATTTTGGGATTATATACTAGTATTTAAGAGTTTCTGTACTATATATTAGCTTCGATGCGAAGATGAGAAGGTATTGGTTTTACCATGATGTGTTTTTATTTTGTATGTCTGTTGCCACTTATTCTCAGCTCTCACTAGACCGATTTTATAAACAATATGTCAAAAGATCACAAATCGTATCCAGCTGAAGAAATTACCCTTTAAAATTGAAAATATTTCACTCGTTCCCCATAAATGGGAGAAATCTCTAAAAAATTACAATTTTGAAAATCAGTAATTTTTGACATTTTTTTTACTTTATTTTTTTCTTAAAACTTCCATAATTCTTTCAATAATTAACAAATCAACATAATTTTTGTTATATTGAAACCTTAGTTAAGTCCCTTTCATTTGATATCATTTTTTTGATGATATAACACTTAACCTGATCACAGGGGGTGATTTAAAATAGAAACTTTTTTACAAAAACTAACTTTTTTAGCTTAACTTTTGAAAATGTTCCTGATATATGCGTCCTTTAAATATGTGTCAAAATAAAGCTCACAATAAATACTACAAGTACAATAAAAAAAATTGTACTTTCACCTTTTCTTCTATGGGAAAATAGCCGTCGAATTTAATAAAAATGTAATTTTTATGTAATAATCACTATTTAACATAAAATATTTTAATACTGAAAACTGCCATAATTTTTTTTGATATAAAAATCTTAGAAGTTTCCTTTTTAAATGATATCATTTTTTAATATCTAATTTTAAACCTGCCTTAATCAAATAATAAGTAGCTTAAACAGCTTTATCTATACAAACTATAACAATCGTTAATTTCTTATATTTTTAAAGTAATTATTGTCGAATTAGATTTGATATGATAAAAGTATTTAACTACAAAAGTAAATAATTTTACTTTATAATTAATTAATTTTTTAAGTCTACTTGTGTGTGCAACTACTAATCTATAATATTTCAAAATTTTTTGTAACATGTTGCTATATAAATCATAAATCTAAAAAAAAATGATATTTAGTTTCACCTGAATTTAACAATGGATTTTTACAATTATAATCAAATTTTATAATACGCTCAATTGAGTTGGGTTGGGTTTTTTTTTCTAGAACCTTCGGAATATTTACTTTCGAAAAATTAGTGCCAATGATATTTTCTATTTTGATCTATGTGTCGCTATCTACATCACAAAAATTGACGAACATCGACAATTTATTTAGTGTATAAGGCGTCCTTAAACAAGATTAAATTAAGTGCATTATTATAAGAAATGTTATGATGATTAAATAAACAAATAAAATCATAACTGTAAATTTTAAGGGCTCGGCCTAGCCTAAAGGGTAAACGTATGTTTCGGCGCACTGGGTCCCAGTTTCAAATCTCAGGGTGCCAATCTTATGATTTCCTCATTGGTGGTCTCTGGTGCTAGCCGACTGTAATATCTGTCCCGTGCATCATTGGCCTAGCCGAGAACTAACTATCTTTGACTTCCTGACATGTGAAAAAAGGCCATCACCCTCTGTAGCATGTTAATTTCGGGGAATAGAAAGATTTAAAACTGATTATTATTATCATATGAAATTTCATGGTAAAAAAATTATGATTATTTGTTTTATTGCATACCCGATCAATCGGGAAGCAACTAATAGTTAGCATGTAAATGCTGCTTTTGTAAGTTTACTATTTCATCATATTCGCCTACTTGGTAAATTAATTTAGGAATCATTTTAATTGTTTCTTTAAAAATCTATTGGAGTGCGATGCCAATGTTTAATTGCATCTATAAGATAAACAGTAAAATATATTTTTTATAGTTAAAATTATAAGTAGGAATTGTTATGCCGCTCCTTTTGCTAAATATATAATAATGCAATTTTAATGTTTAACTTAAATGCAACAAATAAATTTTTTAAAAATTATAATGTGATATTATTATTTTTGGGTGTGCACTTAACATCAAACCAAGCAATTTGATTAAAGAATACGTTAACAGAAGGAATTCTAGAATATTTTTCCTTTTGGTTCTTAAGAATTGAACTACAATATAAAAT